GGTGCATCATTTAAATTGTGACCAGCTGGGAGGGCAGTGGTTTTCTTAACTCTTCTATGGGGTTTGGTTGAGGTGGAGTTAATTTTCCCCATAGCAGCCCTCATAGTACTGTGCCTTGTATTGGTAGCTAGAAAGGCGTTGATAACACACCGGTGTTTTGGCTACTGATGAGCAGTGCTCACACAGCATTGGGGCTGTCTCTCCAACATTCCTCCCTCACCAGTAGGCTGGGGCGGGCAAGATCTTGGGAGGGGACATAGACGCGCTATTATGATGTTTTTCTTCCAGAGCAACTGCTATCAGTACTGAAGCCCTACTTCCTGAGAAGTAGCTGGACATCACCTACTGATCCTTTGCTTCCACACGCAGCCTTTGCTTTATTAAACTGCCTTTATATTGACCCATGAGGGTTTTTTTTCCATCTTATTTTTTCTCTCTCCTTGTGAGAGTGGCTTGGTGGGCACCTGGCATCCAGCCAAGGTCAACCCACCATAACTCTTAAGAAGCAGACAAATACAGGACAGAAATTAAAACGGGCGCATTAAGGCTATCTATCAAACTCAATTGAAAATAAAGCACACAGTTGCTTCATGAGTACTTAATGTACATAGAACATACACATCACATCATATTTGTATGTTTGGTTTGACAGCTTATGTAATCTGCTGTTGTTTTCTAATTACTTTTAGGTAAGAGGAAATTTTAGTATGGATATGCACTGGTGTTTAAAACTTAGGCTGACAACTTTCTGCTACCAGAAAAAATAATCTGGAGAACCTGTATCCTCAAGTGGTTTTTAATTGGTACTACACCTGTTTTTACCAGATGGTGTTGTCAAATGAATCTGTGTTTCTGAAGGCTTTGCTCCTTTGTGTAATGTAAATAAGACACACAGGCAACCATGGAATGCCCTAAAAATTCAAGTTTTACTTGACTTTTAAATAACCTGGACACAAGTATTGACACAGCCATCCATCAAACTCAATTGAAAATAAAGCACACAGTTGCTTCATGAATACTTAATGTACATAGAACATACACATCACATTGATATGTTTATGTATGTTGTTTTCAAATGTCCTTCTACCTTTGAATTAAACAGTCTTTCACAAAAGAAAATGTGCTATCTATTCAGTTCAATATTCACCTGTATAAAGATGATCGATTTGGCAACTTAAATGGTAGTGATTTATTTTCTTTTTTTCCAATCAATATCTTCAATATAATGAGCTCAATTAGAATATGAGTTGCAAGGTTAGGGATAGTGGTAAGAAGTGCAGTATAGAAAACAGCAGGTCAAGGCTAGCTCCTAATGAAAGCAGCCAGCTAACAAGCAAGGGGGTCAATATGGGATATACAAAAAAGCTTATGTGGTGTGGTTAGCAAACCCTCTTCATTGTATAAAATATGTGTTTTGCAGAGAGGTATGTCTACATTGTAGGTGTTGCTAATTAAGTGAGAGAGTTCCATAACTTACCTATTCCTAGCACTTATGGAAGTCTCAGAAGAGGTAAATGCAGAGGCACAAAGTTAAAATTGTTGGCCTGAGATCAGTTCGGCAGACTAGACGCAGAATTAGGATGAGAATGTCTCAAATATCAATCCTTTGTCCATGTGAGGACAGGTCTGTATGGCAGGCAACGACAGGGTAAACTTTGCCTGACGTGGTTATACATCTCCTGTCTTTTGCCTGACTCATCAGGCGGTACAAGCATTTGAGACTGACAGGCAAATGCCAGGTCTGAAAACATAACTGCCTCTAGGCAGTGCAAGCCCTAAGGAAGCCAGGGAAGGGTAGCAACAGTGGAAAGGGCAAGGTGTAGCTCAGAGGTGTAAGACGTCAGCCACTTACAGGTGTCATCGGGCTGGTTTAGGGCTACAGAGCATAGCTGTGACACAGTAAGTGCTTTCAGTGACTGATAACCTGTAGGCATCTCTCACACAAAAATAGCAAGTTCACAATAAAAGGTGCCTTTCCTCAAATGACCGAGGGGAAGAAGCTTGAAGGGAAAGGAGGCTTATGTATATAGAAAAAGTTTCTTTTTCTGTACTGTTAGCTGACAGGGACATCCTTGTCCAAGTTTTGCCTTGTTCAGGTACTGGCACTGAGCATGTAATGCAGGTGTTAAGCTTAGTCTTTCTTTTGTGGATACAAAACTATTGTAGTGCCCCAGACGGAGCATTCTACTTTCTAAACCCTGCTTCCTACATAGTCTCATTGGAGACAAAACCAGTAGCGCAAATCTAGGACTCCCTGTAAATTTCTCTTTTAAATGCAGAAAAGTCGGCTTGATTATGAAACAACTGTCCTGTGACTTGAGAATTGAAGCCTATTAGGATAGATAGAAGCCTATTTTCTGATATAGTGGGACAAGTAAGATACCACACACTCGGCTGATGGTGTCGAGCAATAATAGACAACAGACAGGCAGATGACAACATACAGGAAAACATAAGGTTGCATATAAACCTTGCAAGTAATTTTCTTCTTGATCAGTATTGGAGGATTGGCAAGATAAGGACACTATGTACAGATAATTCTCAAATAATAACAACACAAACCCTCCCGAAGTAGTAGATATGTTCTACTTCCCTGTGCCTGAGTGAGGAGTGCAGAATAATGGTAATGATTTAGACAGCAAGAAACTACAAGCAAGTTCATAATGCTCCAGTTTGGAACACCTTGAAGAAATAAGGAGTGGCTTTCATTGCAGACAGTGTAACCAGTTCTTGTGTGGTTCGTTGTATTTCAGTAGTCTTCCAAAGGATTGTGATGCTCTACATTAATCTGTATCACCATAATCTTTGCCACAATGACACAGGTTTTTGTGTGTTTTCTTTTTGGTTTGGGTTTTTTTTTTCCCTTTTTGCTTTGTTTTTTTTTTTGTTGTTTTTTTTTTTTTTTTAAACTGGTGCTTGTGAGAATACTACACAAGGTCATAAATAGATCCTAAAAGATCACTTTAAATTGGAGCAATGACAATGAAACTATTTAAAAGATTTACAAAACAGTTTAAGCAAGTATTTTAAGCCAAGCCCAACAATGTTCTAGGATGAGATCCATAGTAAAATCAGAAAATGCTGAAGAACCTCCATAAAACCAGAATTTTTACACAGCGGGGTTCTAAGCTCTTTCCTTCCCATAGACTTTTCAAGGAGACTGAAGAAGCAGAACTGTCCCAAATAAGTGATCAAAGAAAAATGTTTGTGAAATGGATCTGCCTTCCCTGGCACAATGCAGCGTCTCCCAACCTGCAGACCAATCCATACTATGACAGGAATATACAAACTGTATGGTTATCACCCTGGCTGGTAGCATCCACCTGACCATCCCAGATTGTGAAACAATAAAGAATCAAAAAAAGAGGTGGAAAATAAAACACATCATGCAAGGTTTCACTTCCCATGCTTTGTGTAAAGCGTAATTTAGATGCCTTGTGTTCACTCCAGTTCTCAAACACTACTGCTTTTCTGACAGGGCTGCAGTCCCCTGGTAGAGTGTTGCTAGGGGGTAGAATCATAGAATATTTTGGGTTGGAAGAGATCTTTAAAGGTCAACTAGTCCAACCCCCAAGAAGACACAGGATCACTGCAAATCACTGGAGGCGTTTGGGGGGATCGAGTTTAAGGAGGACAGATGTAAAAAGGCACATGAGCTACTACAGCCACTTCCAATGCTGTTTGACAAATTCAATATTTAATTTGGGGATTACACTTAGCAAAAGTTACTTTCACAACACAAAGGTTTTGCTAAGCTTCTTAATGAGTTCGAAACGCCAGAAGGCTCATCTATGTGCCAACTGTGGACAAACAGGAGGCAGATGAATGGCTTTCAGCTATTTGTTCAAAGTGACAGGACAGGAAAAGAGCTAGGCATCACTACAGAGACATACTAGAAGATAACCCACCCAGTGTGCAGCATCATTAAAACTTACTATTCCTACCGTGACAATAGAAAAAATTGCAATTCTCATACCTGAAATACTGCCTTTGTCATTTTATCATAGTAGAAATGGCTCAGAGAAAAGTATCAGAAGGTACGAGCATTGATTATCTCATATGAAAAAAGATTAAGGCAGACCTTGCTAATCTAGTTAAAAAAAAAAAAAAGGCTATTTGCTAGTTGTCTTAAATCCTACTCTACAAGTTTCATTTAACCAGTACTTAAGTGCCTTGCTAAGCAGTCTTAATATGGTTTGTCAGTACATATTCCCCTTTTTTTTTTTTCCAGTGTGGTTTACTATAAGGTGATAGATGTATTTCTATGGTATGGAATGTTCAATTAAATAGTCCCTCTACATAAAAGGGCCTTCAAAATTGGGAACACTTAAAACTGCCAAGGGAAAGTAAGTCTGTATCACCTCTGGAACTCTCTGCCACAGGGTATTACCAAGTCTATTATTTTTGAGCTAAAATGGGTTGAGTCAACATTTGTATTAACAACATGAGCATCTGTTGTCGTGCTAGGCTAAAATAAACCTTGTAAGAGCTATCAGAACTTATGTCTCAGGACACAAGTTGATCCCCATATAAGATTGTGAAGATAATTCTCCCCATATCACACTGTATTGCACAATTGGCCAAAAATATGACTATTTTGCTTCTCTTGAAGCATCTAGTCCTGATCATGTCAGTTAACAGTCATTTTTTGGAAAAAGGCTATTCAGTTACAGAGCAGACCATAAAGCCTGTTTTGTTGCAGCAAATTTTTTTGTTCATTTTTTGGAAATGTAACTGCTGATCATTCAGTTTTACTAAGACTTTTCTTTTTGGTTGTCTAATCAGGCAGCTTCTCCTTGATCAGTCGCACCACTAGAATGGTGTCGGTGATAAAAGCATTGCTGGGCCTTCCCAGCAAGCAGGAGGCGCTTCCAAGTGTCCTGAAGAAATTGCTACCACGTCCACTTCAGTTCCTTCCCTTGCACACACACACACACACACACACACAAATTCTCCGTTTCCAAAGAACAAAATCCATTCACCATCTTCAGTTATGGCAGTCAGGTCTCCACCTTGAAGCGTGACACCTGTACAGTTTTTATGATCTTAGTGGTGGGTTTTCCGTCGATGTTGTTAGTGGATAGCTGAGATGTTTCATCTATTAGGCTGTCTTTAGATCCATTCTGTCTCTGAAGGGAACAAATTAAAACATGTTGTTGAAAAGGTATAGCAGAATTAAATACTGTATTTTGATAACTGCTGCTATGACAGCCTTAGTCTAAGGATATAGCGATTTATCCACACACCAGGAATACTAAAGTCTCTGCGTTTATTTGATCAAACAGAACTTTTTCCCCCTCTTGCCTCCTTTCTCCCCTGCCAGCTGCTGCCCCTCTGTGCTATTTGGATTCATATTCCCTATTCACAATGCTCCAACCAGTAATTATTTGATATTTAGCAAAACACTGCAAGCAAGAGCTCACAAGTAATTAATGGCCACTGTTGTGCAGATGTCTGGGGCAGAGGGAAAAGAGAGGTGTTTGTGGACTCTGAACATTGTGACATTAATTCCTTCCAGGGCATGAATTTAAGCCATGTTGTATTGGATAAGAATGAAAATAAGACAACGTGAATTTCTGAACAGCACTAAATCACACAAGTTACCTATTTCTACAAAGGACATAAATGTGCTTAGCCTTAAGTACACCAACTTCCCCTGCACTGCTGGAGCAAGTCCTTACATCAAGGACAGCTCATCTTTCTCAACTTCCATCGTATGCAGGAACACAAATATCCTTGAACTTAATTCCTATCACAGAACAGGCAGTGTGTTAGCTAGCCTTAAAGTGAAAAGTATCTGTTTATTGTTTTAAAATTGTTCAAGCTTAAGTTATTCTAACTGCTTGTAAGGTAAAATACGACATGTTTTGCTGGTTGTAATCTGTGCAGTTTTCATGCTACATACAGCACGTGGTTTTGGTATATCCACATGTCAGATTAACAGACACGATGACCAGTGTGGGAAATTAGCTGTGTGGAATTCTCCCTTCTGTGTTTTGGTTTTCCTTTTGTGTGCTTGCACAACAGGCAAGCAAGTGCTTTTTGAATATAATTTGCTTCTCACATTTTGAGCTTAATAAAACTACCAAAGCTGAGAGATGTGGTACCATAATGTACGATGAAAGCCCGTGACTATATTCAAAAAGACAAGTTCTATCCCTTTTAGATTTCTGTAATGTAAAAAAATATCCAGTATTGGGGGAAAAAAAAAGGCAAAAAAAGAGGCAATGCTTCAAGCCCAAGCAACAAAACTCTAAAAAGAGGTGAATAAATGACAGTAGGTTGTGATTACAACTGCATCCCAAGCACACGTACATATTTTAAGAAATTGTGAAAGTTGATTCTCCTCCTGTGGAGAACAGGGTATCATCTTAAAGAAGCACCAAACTCAAACTGGGAAAGATTCCTCCAGTATAGCAGAAGCAGGTGTTCGCTGGGGCATATGCTACAGAACTACATATATTTGGAAATACAAAGTGTAAATACAAGCAAATTGTAAAATTTCAAGTCACGCTGCAGCTGAGGAAATCTCAGCCAACTTTAATTTTCACTGAAAAACAAAGATCTAATTTAAATAAAGCAATAGACTCCCCCTTCTCCCTCCAAAAAAAGGAAAATTGCAAAGGATGCACAACTACTAACCTGCTGAGTCAACTGGATGCTGGGACCTTTTGCATCAGAAGATCGCGTAACAGGCAGTGGAGGCACCAGATCAGTTTTCGCACTGGAATTACAATATTACAAAATGGACACTGTTATAATGAAGTAAACTATAACTATGCAGAGGAAGAATAATGAAATTGCCCAAATAGCTACATAGATCTGCAAGGCAAAATCCAAAAGGCTTACCATCTTACTAGACATACGAAAGCTATCATGCTGATCCTCAGTAGTCAGTAGGCACCTTCAGGGTATCCCGTCCCTTCTCAAGGGGCCTGTCTCCTCCTGGTCTACAGAGGCAGCCCAAATCCATGCAAGCTGAGTCTCACCTGAAATCATGGGTATGCCACACCTTCTTCAGGGTGCCACCCAGCTAAAACTATCCTCCTGAGTGGGTGATATCATCAGGGGACTGCTTTTGATATTTAGGGCCTTAATAAAACTGAGAACGGGGCTGTCACTTTTCCATTCGTAAGTACACTGATTTGTAGAAATCAGTCTTCTAGGAAAGACTGATCCACCCACTGCTGAAGAGGGTGGTACTAGAGTTCCCATGAAACAAATTACAGAGTTAATAAAGATGATGTCTTAAGTCTATTAAGGATGAAGGTATCTGGAAGGCAACTCATGAGTTGTCATCTCTCAGGCAACTTCATGACCTACCATTGAAGAGGTTTATTTTGGCTTTTTCTGTTTTTCCCCCTTCCAAGTGGATCAGGCAAGCCTCTGTGGCCCAGAATAGACCAGAAATGGTTTTGTACTTGTTTTGAGTCATTTAGTTCTGAAGACCAACTATTTAGAGGGTTGCGTGAATCCTATGCCAGCAACCAACCACGTTTATGCCACTTCTAATCTAACAATGATCTTTGAAAAAATTTTAGGCCACACTAAACCAGTCTGTTGCTAATAACCACATTCACATACTTCACTTCAGACAGGACAGATCTTTCACCATCAGAACACTGGGACCGCCGATACTGACGGTAGCTTCGAGGGGAATGTGAGTGCCTAATGCGGATCGGGTCTCCTTGAGTCCTACAAGAGACACAGAATTTACAACGGTAGGTTAGTAAAGCAGATCTTCAGCACAAATTCAATTGCAGACTGAGAGATCCCCCCATTTTTTATTAAAGTATCACAGACAGCTTCTTGCACTGGCTGAATTTAAAAGGCTTCTTACAAGTCTGTACTTGGAATTCAATGCTTTAAAAGTACAAATGTCACAAACTGGCATGCCCATATTTGAGAATGAAACTATTTAATAAAGGATGCATTAATATATACAGCCTTAACATCAGCTTTTCTGTTTAGTGGTGATGTGGAAGCACATTATAATGCAAACCAGGATCCCATTCCTGCCACATGCAGCTGCTTGCACTGACACACAGCATCCCAAATGGGCAATTATCGCAGTGAAATAGTTATCGGTTCTTAAGGAAATAGCTATGCCCTGGCAGCTGCCCACGACAAGCAAGCAAAGGGGTTGAATAGGTCAAACAGTACCTTAGATGATTGGAATAAAAACTTAAAAGGAAGCAGAAGTTTAGGAAATAAATGGATTTGCTTGTTTGCATTCAGTTCTGTCTGATTCTGTAGTGTATGACATAAAACAGATTGATGGATGGCATAGGGAGACATACAGAACATATAGACATTTGGCAGGTTCCCTCCATGTAGGAGCGATAGGGAGAGATGAAGATGATTTTTTTTCATATTTTGGAAAGAGAAAATATTAAGTTATTAAATTATTAGGTATCCTCATCCAACCCATCCTAGATGAACATTTGGAGTAGACAAAATCTTAGGGATTATGTGTAAACCCACTTCTATTTCAGTACAACAGAGTTCACAGTAAAATAAGAAAAGTGGGCTTTTATGTTCACAAAGAAAAATCTTGACGTAAACTCACTCTATTTTAGTGTACGGAATTTCTTTCAATTGCTCCTCAGACAGGCCAGATGGATCCACAAGCTCCTTCCTAGAAAGGATTAGTCAAAGTAGAGAAATGTAACAGTAGCTACCAACTGAGAAACCGTTCTTATTTCTATTATATTAGGTTGAAAAGATTTACTGAAACAAGCTGTTGTCAGCCCTGAGGCTGACTTGACATCAAAATAGGAAACCTATTAAGAAATGTGTCTAACCACCTTGATTGCTTCAACTGCGTGTCACATCCTGTTCCACCTTCCTCTCACCTCCCTGCAAACCCGATCTTGTTGCTTCACAATATGTGTGAACCTTGTGTATACCGAACATCGAATATGCTTTGGAATAGCTAACTGTCTTCCTAACTGATAGTTCCATAGCATATGAGGCCTCATCCTAAAAAGCATCAGTATTACAAACAAGAACATTTTGGAAGCCACAGAGGAATAAATCTCTAGAATGCTGTATTCTTCTTTAATAATTCATCTACATACAATGGTTGTCTGTATTCAGTGCATTCAGTGATCTCCAGTATGTTCTACACACAGCAGGTTATTAACATCTGCGTAATTTACTGTGGCACGTAACTGAATCAGAATGTAATGCCTTATAGCCACAGTGCCAGGGGATGTGAATAACTACATTAGAGGCAAACGAAGCAGTCATGCAGACCCTGCAAGGACTGTACTTACTGAATATGTTTCCACAGTTCTTCCTTAGCTTGTACATCTGGGCTTCTCCTATAAATACCAACAAAGACAAGAAAGGCAGAACTCTGAAAACCATTGTCTGACACATTGCTGTTCAATTAACAGACCCTGCACAGAAATCACGGTAAATGTAATCCAGCAGCAACTTCCACTTTAAGATTTGTTATCTCAGAAAATGTATTAGACTTCACAGCTTTGTTTCAACTGAAAAGTAATTTCTTGAATGATAGGCTCTCAATCACAATTTCTGTTCCGCTAGCCTTCAGCAAGAGTATGCATAAAATAGAAACAACAGCAGAACTTCCCAAGCCAAATCAGCGTCCAGCTACTGCCACCCCTCATCCAGCTGAGGACAACGTGTTTTGGAATAGCACTTCTGTAAAAGGCCGACAGAAATGTCCTGTGGCCCACAGAGACCTTTCAGGGCAGGAGGAGGGACAGGCCATGCCAGGCAGACACACCAGTAATCCCTACCCATTCCCAGTGAGCACCAGTAAAGAGGACCCATTGCTCAGCTGCCATCACAGTACAGCCTCTCACTTTCTGGTCATTTCCAAGACGGGTTTCTGCTCACTTCATTTACCTTTGTGATGTCCACAACAAAAAAAACCAACAATGAACAAACCAAACAAGCAACGACACAAACTCACGGACACAAATATTTTAGCAAGTATTTCATTCACAGGGAAAGTACTTAGCCAAAATTGCAGTTTCCCTGTTGCAGACACAGACATGTAGAGTAAAGCAAGCCTGAATGGCATGCCTCATGTTTCCCACTGAATTACAGAAGATACTCTCTCCAAACTGGATCCTCTTTATTTTTATTTTTCTTATCCCATTTTATTGCAAGGTTAGTGCAAAACCACTGCTGTTGCTGAAGCTGCACCTAGAATTCACCAAAACTCATGCAGAGTAATAGATTAAATAAGCATTTTACACAGTGGCAAGGACTACATTTGCATGGAGAGATCAGGTAACTCTTTTCGTTGGGATTATATAAACTCAATGTCCACAGCTAGACTGTTCCACACCATCTGAAACGTGAGGGATGCAACTTTTAGATGGATTCAGCAGGCATAGATGCTCCCACTGAAGTCACAGTTTCTAAAGATTAAGTCTTACACCATGAGATCATACAGCTTGCTTTTTTTTCCTTAAACAAAAGGGCCTATCATATTCAAAGGTGCTTTTGCAGTGATACAATCCAAATTTAAATGAAGACCAAGGAGAACAGCAGAGTTCTGCACTTTAGCATCTGTTAAATCGCCTCTCCCTCACCCAGTGACAGAGCTGTATCAGAAATAATTCCAAATTGGTCTCTAGCACTAACAGTTTCGCTGTTTTCTTATTTCACCGTAACTGTGTTTGGCTCATTTCCAGACTTCAGCCTAGCAATAATGTTCTATATTGCAGTAAACGTTTTAGAGTTAGTGTAAAGACAGATTATTTAGGGATGGTAATGTTTGGGGGCTGGTTTGTTGTGTTTTTTTTTTTTTAAATCTTACAGGTGCAGAAGTACTGGGAGATATTAGTTGACTGCTTTATATATACCAGAGATAGACAGAAGGGTGAGAAACAACCACACATTTGTGATTCCCTAGTGGGACTAATATGAACTAATCCATAACCTTCTCAGGCTCCAAGGTGGCGATGGCTTTCCAGGCAGCATGACGCAGCCGCCCCAGACGATTCCTGTCCTTGACAGAGCGCTCTGCTGTCCATTCCAACTGCTCAGGTCCTCATGACAACAACAGCTACGGTCACAAGTAGCTTGCAGTCTGATTTTTATCGGCATTCAGAGCTGTTTCTGGCTGCATGTGTTTGTGTTTATTATAAGGCATTTCATTTTCTCTGATTTTTACTTCTCCTATCTCTCTTTCTCCCTTCTTGCATTTATTTCGCCTTCTCCCCTCCATACATCTGTCCATGCTGTTTTTAACTCCCTGATGCAGTAGCCTGGTATGCAGTGGCACTTACTAGCCGTTTTCACCCCTCAGTTTTGAATTGATTTCTCCTTCCAGGCAACCCCCTGCTCACCAAATAGCAGCTGCAAACCCTGCATTCACCCTGGGGCTGGGAAGATAGGCATCCTCTTCTGAGGCTGAATAATCAGGCAGTGGGGAATGCAAAAGCTCCCTGAAAAACGACAGCTTCTCCAGGGAGGCTTTGTAATGCTTACAAGCCCCAGTTTGCCTGAAGGAACCAAAGCCTCAAGGTCGCTCCCAAACCCAGGATCCCCACAAAGAAGGGTATTGTACACACACCACCGACCCATCTGATCAGCTCATGGCTTTTACTTATGCATGGAAATACAAGGGTCCATGATGTGGTCTTAAGTCGTCAAACATCATGTGAAGCCTCACCTACAGAAGAAATACTAATTGGTGGGACAGTGTGGAGAGAGAGCGGTTAAATAAGAAGGCACCTTCGCTTCTCCATTTTCTAAGAACTGTGCCTCCTGCTTTCTGCGACCTCTCCAGGTGGCTTTTTCCAGGCATTTAATTCTGTGATCTCTGCCATTCTCCCCTCTTTCACCCCTGCAACTACACTAATAAGGAAGCCACTCTTGTAAAATACTGATTTAGCAATATGGCACCCCACGAAAAAAAAAAAGAAAAAAAAAAAAGGCTAAATACAATGATTCCCTAAAGTCATTTAAAAGCATTTAAAAACATTTAAAAGCAAAACTGCTTTTATAAATTCCCATGTTGACATTCTTTATTTTCCATCTGTTTAAATAGTGTTACCATACTAGGATAACCTCACAGCATTTATTCTAGTTAACTCCCCGCAAAAAATATCCAGAAATATGATACAGATAAAGTATCTTAATAAAAGCATTTTCCTTCCAAAGGCCTGTTCCTGCTCCCTTTGAAGGTAAAATGAAGAAAAGCTTACAAAAAGAAACGTCTTGTTAAGGTGAAATGTCGGTATTGCATATACTGCATAGGAAATTCATGTTTGTGTAGGTCTTAACAGCTCACAACAAAGCAATCCTTCTATTAAATCTTTAAAGCTCTCTTTCACTTTGTTTTCATCTTTTTACTGTGAATTGGTTAAGAACTCACAGTTTTGACATGTAATGTATACTCATCTTGTCCTATTGCAGTATCCAAATCAATAGCTCCTGGACAATTTGTACGCTAATCAGGTTCTCAGAGGAAACCTAAGGGGAATTCCCTGTAAGTGATGAGTCTCCTGGAGGTTTTTTGTTTATTTTTATTTCGTTTTCACAAGCTTGAACAACTCTACACATTAATAAGGTCTACATTATTTTTCGCGTCTGCATCTGCAGCCTTATTAATATTTCAGTTTGAGTTGCAAATGGTTAATTTCAATAGCCATGGAATTTTAATGGCCATTCTTCTTAATTAAAAAAAGCCCTTTGGCTACACAGATGTTTTACATGAACTCTTGAAAATAAACCCTGTAGAACTAGAATTGGGAGCACTCTCTATTTGCTGATTCCTTTAGGAGAAAGAAAGGTCAAATTCTTGCCAAATATTTTTATTCCTAAAACCGAGAAGCCACCACCAATGATTAATATTACTCATTATCAAACAAATGAAATGCACTGCACCAGGCACAGTAACAAATATTTCAGCTATTACTTCACGCCTCCAAAGTGAACCTCTAGTTAAGCTGCCTGCAACAAGGAACTTAATGTGGAAGACTTATCTGTCCTACTAAAATGAAGGCTTTGTATAAATTGTTAAATGCACAAATTGAAATGACCGTATGACCAGATTTAAAAACAAAATCAACTATGTATACCCTACACTTTAAGGAATCACATGCTTCCCTTCCCTCTGACCTGCATCCAGTCATGTAAGCAAATAGCTGAGCCAAACTAAATTAAAGAAATGCTCTTATAACCTACTGCAGTTTAGCAGTTTAAATGCCTTTTACTAAAATGTTTGTAATGCACTTTGAAAGGAATTGCCATTTTACTTTTTTAGTTCCTACTTGCATGTATTAAGGCACTCTGTCATACTTGGGAGGTTTGGTCTTATTTCGTTGTTTTAGTTTTGTTTTTTTTTTAAACTGAAGAGTTAGACAAAAAGAAGGAATATATTCATCACCAACACAATAGGGGAAAGAAATGAGAAGCCTTGCAAAATCTTCAGGATTTCCTCATTTCTTTGCTTCACCTAGGACCTCTCATTGTTTAGTAAGATGCTAACATTTATGTTTTTTGCTAAGAGTAGCATAAATAAAATATAACTCAGAATGTCACTGTGCTGGAAAATAAAAGACATTTCTTAAGTTAAGGTAGCCACAAGAGGGAGCCCGTGCTGTCCAAGCAATGAAAATTACTTGGCCTATGGGAAAAAAGAAAAGTTGGCAATAAATTTAACCTAACCATTATTAATTGAGTATATTTCCTAGTTTACAGCACTTTCTGTGTACAGTAAAAAAATGCAAATCAAACTTAATCAGTTGTATTTTGTCAATCCCATACAAGTGAGCTTTAATATTCTTGATTTTTAGTAATGTATCACTGTATAATTACACCTAATAACATTTGACTTTTGTGCAGCTGAAAGTGAACAAGTCTGTACAAAGCCAGTTAAAGTAAAAATTCCAACATTTGGAATTTTAATGGCAAATTCTATTTTTCATAAAAGAACAAAAACTGTACACTATGAAACTGGAAACAGAAATGAGTTCTAGCAACAAGGGCAAACCGAAAACAGAACACAAGTGGATTTTAATACTGGAAAATTCAGTGCGGATTACGGTTTCAATCAGCATGAATGAAACAATCGTTTCAGGCACTACGTAGTTTCTGGTGGTAAGTCTTAACATGAAAGGCAAACTTAAGAAAAGACATTAACAGGAAGTACCGCTGTAAGTGTGTTACAGAGGTCACACATTACACCATCAGCATCAGGGCTGGCAACTCATCCGTGTCAGCCAGGCAGCGATGGTGGGGACACAGTTTCAAAGGCTGCTGCTCTCTCTTGCCTTCTCTCCCAGTGACCCACAGCTGCTCTCCTGCCACTCTTCAACCCCCCTAGCCCTGCCTTCCCCTGCCCTCCCTGCCGGGCACCCTGATGCTGGCACTGCTCTGGATGGTTGCTGGGATGGCAGATTAGGCTGGACACAAACACGACACAAACCGGTGTGTCTATACCCCAAACATCTGCCATTAGAAGAAAAATATAAATGAAAAGAAAACAGTATTTTCATTAGTTTGAGGAAATTAATTTTAGAAGCCAACTACTTCACCATGTCAAAACCAGCTGTCAGCAGGA